TTTTTAGCATAACAACCGGAGAACCAAAAAATGCATGATGCCGTCCAATATCGGAATCGGAAATGCGCAAGGACTTGCTCAACTCTATCCACTCTCAGCGAAAAACGACTGACGTCCGAGGGAGGTCGGATCTTACCGAAAAGGTGCCCCGAAAATATAGTTAATAGAAAACATGTGAGGAGATCAAAGCAAGCTAGCAGAGATTCTTTTGAATCTCGACTCAAACCCATTTCACAGCCTTACGACGACGGTCGAGGAACCAGCGCTCGAGAACGAAATTGACATCATCAATGGCATGGCGAGGAGAATAAGGGCTATGGCTGGCAATATACGAAAAATCGATGGGTATGTTATTTTTAAGTTATGTTTACTATTTTACTATTAAATGACCGATACAAAAAAATATCGAAGCTCTCTCATATATTTGTCACAATTTTTCAGGGCGAATGGCGCTTCGGACACTCGGGCCATGGCGGCGTAAAATGTAAAAGTGGACGTCAGCCACAAATTAGCTTCGCTTTCGCCTGCAATGGGCTTCATATAGCAGACGCAGGTTTGGAATTATAAATAGATTATACTTACCTACTCTATTTCATCTGATGGGCTTCTGACTGGCTGGCGCCTAATCTGACATTGGCTAAGGCGAATAAATTCAAGCATGTCCGCCAGAAAATTAAAAGCAATTTATTAGCTTTTAACTTTTTAAAAACACTAGAATAAAATAGGGTAACTTCGAAAATTAAGAAAAAACCACTTAAATCCCGATTTCTAGATCTCGTCCCAACATTTGCGCGACTCCAGGAAAAGCTCTACGATTGCATCGAGGAGATTGAAACATTTGCATGGCGAATCTCCGGTCCTGATAGAAATATCAAAACCAAGGGAATAAATAGTTAGATCTTAAGCGGCAATTCTACCTTTTTACTCCAGGTTAAAAGCAAATAATGTAATTTCATCGACAAAACCTTGGCTGTAAAATCCCTTGCCGCTCACCTGAACAGGTGGTGGAAAGAAAAATTTGAATTAAAGTAATATTTGGAAGCCTATCCAAAAATTTCATTGAATTGTATATTTTTGTACTGTGTATTTTTCGCGACAATAAAATGAAGCAATAATTTATTAAAATTCACCTTCATCAATCACCGTCTAAAAGATAATTTATTAAAATGCACATACGCCAATCACAGTTTAAAGTAAATTAAGGTATTTTTCTGAGGCAAATCCACGCCTCAGTTATTCACCATCACATCCAAATGGATCACAATTTTCTGGTTATCCACCCTGGATGATGATGCCCTGGTGGTATTGTACTGTCGCGTAAGCAGTCCTCGAAGGCAAGCCCAAAACCAAGCAACTCTGGGCACTGCACACTCACGGATTCGATCCCCCGGGCGCCGCCTTTCCATTGCGTAATCAGCTCGACCACGAATTCGACGGCTCGTTCGGCCCTCTCCTCTGGGATGAGAGTTTGCACCGCATGGTCTCTACCTTCAAATCCAGGGCATTCCGGAAGTCGCACATCCGGGGCGGAAACCAAATCCGCCACGTTTCCGTTGGACGAACCCCACCACCCTGGGCAAGGGCTGAAGCGGCGGATGCCGACGGCTACTTACTCCTCCGGCTGGTATGTATTCCTTGACGACGCTGAGGGGGTCAGTTTGATCACCGGCGAGCCCATCTCCCGATAGCCAGCCTACGCGAGGCAAGGCCGGGCATGTGCGACTCAAAAGCTTGGACCCCTGAGAACAGCGGCGTCGCGTAATAGGAAATCGATTGTCCGCTCGGAGGGGATGGTCATTTGGTCGAGCATAAGGCTGCGCAATGATGGCCTGGCTGGATTTGGGGACCTCTGACCTCGGAAATTCCACCTTGACGTTCCAGTCATTTCTTGGGGAGGGCCTCAATGGGTTCTGAATGCTCGGCACGCAGGCGACTCGCACAATCACTTTTTGATGCCCGTACATGTGGAAGAATCTTTGTCGCGGATTTCAGCGGGGAATGCGGAGAGATCCTATTTATCTGAAAAAGTAACGCAAGTAATTAATTGATCGGACGCATTACAGGGAATAAGAATTGCATAACGCGAGGGACATATTTTCCAGAATGGATTTCAATATCGAGTTTGTTTAAAATTTAAATCTGCTTCGAACACCACTGTGGGGCCTGTCTAAACAATACCAACAAGCATACTTTACGGAAATTGCCGGGTTTTACGGAGGTTTCGGCGTCACCAACATAGCGCGTTTCTCTCTTCTACCACGGCCTTCCTCAATAGGCTCTCGCGATTTCGAAAACGCGCCAAATTGAATTGGCGAAAGCGCGCGCAATCATGCGTGAATACAAATATAACACGACAAATTACTGAAAAATAGTTGGGCAGCCGGGCCGAATCATTAGCTCGGCTTTAAAACCAAAATTAATTAAAACGTAATATCGGGAAAATAAATCGGCGTCAAAATGGCACGAATTGAGCGGAAAACTGGACGGTGAAAATTCGCGAATCTCAGCACCAGAACAATGCCAAAAATACACTGGCTTCCGCCTTGAAACGAATCGGCGCGGTCAGAGGGGCGAATTGCGACCCTGGAAGCTGGCCACTGCTTCCCCGATTACTGCCCTTGCATGGTATTAATGTATACCTTTATTTCTAACAATTGAAAAGCATACGGGACGACAGGCTATTACTGACTTTTATCTACTTCATTTTTATGCCTCAATAATTTAACTATATCACTATCTCAAGTGACAAATTTCGGCTCCCTCACTATCCTTACGGTCGGTCGCAGCCTTTAACGTCAACGCGTCGATGCCCGTCTGCCTGAGTTTCTTAAATTAGTTTTATACATTTTTTGGCATTTCTTTGTATGATTCTTTTTAAGTATTTAATTAAAGTAGGCGCACTTTATAGCTTCCTCAGCCTTCAAGCTCTCGATGATGTTTTTCTGGCGCATGCGGCGCATCATAACTCGGAAGATTTTCGGCGCATAATTTCGCGAGAACGCCACCTCACTCCCAAATTGCATGGATACGCAATTGAGTGGAGTTTTGAGGAATGTTACATTTTGCGGCGACCTCGGCGTATAGTTTGGTCCCTCGACTTATGATTTTTGCGGCTTCTCAAGGGGATGGAGGGCGCAGAATAGGCCTAAATTAGGAAATTGGGGCAGAGAGCGAGAGAGAGAGAGAGAGAGAGAGAGAGAGAGAGAGAGAAGAGAGAGAGAGAGAAATAGAGAAAGAGCAAGAGTGAGAGAGAAAGAGAAAGAAATCGTACTCAAAATTATTCATACCTGGAAAATAATCCCCTTCTCCTTGCAAAACTTGACGAGACTGTTGACTTGATAATGGAATGCATGGAATTATACTGGTCGAGGGCGGAAGACCAAAAAGGAAAGATAGATCAATTAGTTTAAATCCGAGTGAAACAATCGCAACCTTGGCGTAGCTCAACAAGTCCCCTCAAATGATGCGTCATATAGTTTGTAACACCAATGGCCTTCGGCTTGCCCTCACCTAAAAATTGTCTCTTCACAAATTCAGTAAATTACCATAGAATTTCTCTAGTGTTTGCCATGTCTCTTTTCAGCCGGTTAGATTGCGCTTGGGCTACGGCTGGTTGACAGGGAACACTCCGGGCCAGTGGATGAGCACGAGGTCGAGATAGTCGACTTGGAGGAGCTTCATAGATCTAGGAATGGAGTGATCCAGCTCTCTCTACCTCTCTCTCTCTCTCTCTCTCTCTCTCTCTCTCTCTCTCTCTCTCTCTCTCTCTCTCTCTCTCTATCTCTCTCTCTCTCTGTCTCTCTCTCCCTCTTGTCTCTCCCTCCCTCTCTCTCTCTCTCTCTCTCTCTCTCTCTCTCTCTCTCTCCATCTCTCGACTTACTCAATAAGTGACGGCTCTGCCAAAGGTCCCTGATGAATATTGTGAATCTTTGTAGCCAAGAAGATGTCCTCCTGCCAAAAAAACACGGAAATTTTAGAGTAATTCCAGATACTGTACCTGGTCAAATTATGCTTTGGCAACAGCTCCTTAAAAGCCTTACCCGTGATTTCTTCATTGTCTAAAAAAAACTCCAGGAATTTCAGATAACCGTAGATCCCCTACCGTAAGCCTGGGCGGTATCAAAAGTCCTGTATCCAGCCGTTAGTGCATTGTCAACGACCTCGAGCATTTTTGGGAGGTCTTTGATCTTAAATTGGTGTATTTTATTGCAGTTCGTAGTTTTCTTACTCCCCACAACCCGAAAACGAGACGATCCGCTTTTTCTTTGACATAATCACGGCCTTTGTAGTCGTAGTCGGAGAGGGCGCTGAATTTTTGATGATTTTTGAATTTGAAGCAGCAGATTTTGGATAGGTTTAAGTTCAGACTACTTTCTAAAACTATAGTACCTGCACACAACTCCAAAAAAACACCAATACCCGAAGCATCGTAAAAATATCGAGGATGAACTGCTGTTCTCCCCACACAGATCTCTCGCTTTATATCGCTGCTCTAGCCCCGAAAAAACGAAATCGCCAGACCCGAGGCGAAATGGCCTTGATGTGGCTATCACTGGCCATATTGGCTAGCGTCGTTTTCTGGCTGATACATCGCAACTCGATGATCTGCTAGCAAAATGATGGGATAGTCATGGTCAAAAAACTCAAAAGAAGCTCCAGAACGGCGTTCCACTTGTCGATACGATCGTTCTGTTTTGATCTCGGGGTGGAAGCGTTGAAATATGGGTTTGTATGATAATATGAAATATTCCAAAGCTGGAAAATGAGATTTCAAGTACTCTTGAATCTACAGCAATCCCGGAAAGGTTGATTTATGTTCTGAGAGAACTGTAGAAACCTGAAAAAAGACGTCAAAAACCATATCCGGAAGTGTTTTTTGCGTAATTCTATTCACCGTCCGGATTCCCCATATACCAGAGTATTTCTGTCTTTTCAAAATAGGATTATTATATAGGGCTGACCGTAAATTACTTGTAGTTTTTACCCCATTCGTTCCCTAAGCGAAGCCATTTTCAACGTATTCCCTTCGAAATTGTATAAATTTAAGCGGATACTTATAAGTACTTCTTGCACCGCTTTGCTTTCAATTTTTCGGTATTTTTGCTTTATTTTATTTATTAAACAGCCACTATTTCCAAAACCCACCCATGGACACCTTTTGTGTCAGCGCACAATGCTGGCGCACATCGGGGTTGGCCCCTACGCGGTTTCCAGAGGCACAGGAGTGCCGTGTAGCTTCTGGGGAAATATTCGGGGCTCGAGGATTTGCAAGGGATTCGAGTTCTTTTGTGGTTTTCTTATCTGAATCATGGAACATATCATGCCATCAGTTAGCAAACAACATCATTCCGTATTTATTCTAATCATTTTGTTTGTGACTATGTAATAAGAAGAAAAATACGTTATTAAATTGATTTGTTGCAACTTGGACTTCAAATTAATCGTTCGAATGTAAATGTTCGAACTCATACGCATTATAGCTCAATTGGCATGGAGCAGTACGTAAGGAGTTTATAAGCACTTGGCTCGGATGTTTTAGGGTAAGATGTACAGGGCCATCCGCACCTTCACCACCCCCTACTTGCAGGTAGCCAAAAACTTATAGAGACTAATTGACGAATTAAATTAGACATTTTTAGGGCTAATAAAAATGTTGGATACCTTAAATACCTTAAATCTTTTCAGGAAAGACCTCGTCCAACAGGTCTTCATCGACAAAATCCGGGAGTTCGCCAAGAAGGGCGGAGATCTCGTCAACACTGACCCTGCCGTGAGTTTTCCATGCTTTTTTAATGGATCATGGGCATTTTTGGATTTTTGAAGCATAATGCAAGTATATTGAAGCTTACTTTATCTTCCGTTTTAGTGGTGAAGAAGGCCTGCAGCTGGAGTTGGACCGAGTCGGCACTGAGTACTTCTTCTCCAACGTTGCCGATGTCGGAAAGTTGAACGTGACCTTGGAGACGCCAAAGGTAGTTTTTTTAAATTGGAAAAGGTTAATGAGCTTTTATTTCCTGTCCCTGGCTCTATTTGATAGTTATACCATGCTAACGATGTCGCCTGATCTTCAAAAAGTCAAGCTAGCTTTCGAGTTTCATTATAATCGTATGATGACTTAAATTCACTTAAAAATATCTGATTTCGTTGTCTCAATTTATGACCTGATTCTTCTAAATATACCTCCCTTTAAAGGAAAACGTTTTCCAGGTCGAGTCCTCCGTCCAAGCCGAACTCGAGGGCAAGACCGTCGCCGACCTGATCGCCGAGGTGAAGTGCCTGAGGAGCAGCGATTCCTTGCCGCCCAGGTGAACAACCACTACATTCTCACTTTGATGTTTGCAATAATGAACAACTCCATTTATGCAAACTCAATTTTTGCAGGCCGCCTGCCGTGCCGATCCGAGGCCAAGAAGGCCGCCGCTTCTGCCGGAAAATAAATACCGGTCTTTATAGTCGTTTCCCATTTGATTTTTCTTTGTTCTGCTAGATTGCTGATTCTTGGGTAGCGTCAAAATGAAATTTTTATCCAGGTTTGAGAAGTTGAAATGGGCATTTATGGGGAAGCGCAGGGTAGAGTGTCTGGAAAGTGTCAGGAATAGACCCCTGAAGTCGCTGGGCTGTCTTTCTTTTGTTGCAATTGGTGGTTGCCGAGTCTGAACCATCAGATGTGGTGGATTCTGGGTTTTAATTTCCTCCTATTGTGCGGTGGTGTTGTATAATATATAATGTGCGGTTGTAGTTTTTATCCGATTTTTTAACGCCTGTCCTGTAGAGCTCTGTAATTGGCTCGACGAGACCTAGTCGTCACAAAGCGGGCCAATTTTGTCGCTGGCCAGTTCCTTTAACCCCAGAAAAAAACAGAAACAAGCACAAGTTTATATACCATTAATGCACCTTCCTGGGTTT